CCAAGAAGCAGGAAAATTACATTCAAAGCAAGCCTGACAGATGGCCATCCAGCCTCTGTTTAAAAGCTTCCAAAGAAGGAGCCTCCACCACAGTACAGGACAGAGAGTTCCACTGCTGAATGGCTCTCACAGTCAGGAAGTTCTTCCTAATGTTCAGACGTAATCTCCTTTCTTGTAGTTTGAAGCCATTGCTCCATTGCGTCCTAGTCTCCAGGGAAGCAGAAAAAAGCTTGCTCCCTCCTCCCTATTATTTACGGCATTTATATGCTGCCCTTCTCACCCCGAAGGGGACTCAGAGCGGTTTACAAGATATATACATACAATATATTATATTATTAGCATAGTACAATATCAGTATTATATATTACTATAGTTATACATGGCTATAATGTCTCCTCTCAGCCTTCTCTTCTTCAGGCTAAACATGCCCAGCTCTTTAAGCTGCTCCTCATAGGGCTTGTTCTCCAGACCCTTGATCATTTTAGTCGCTCTCCTCTGGACACATTCCAGTTTGTCAATATCTCTCTTCAATTGTGGTGCCCAGAATTGAACACAAGGTGTGGTCCAACCAAGAGGGGTAGCATTACTTCCCTAGATCTAGGCACTATGCTCCTATTGATGCAGGCCAAAATCCCATTGGCTTTTTTTGCTGCCACATCACATTGTTGGCTCATGTTTAACGTGTTGTCCACGAGGACTCCAAGATCTTTTTCATATGTACTGCTCTCAAGCCATGCGTCCCCCATTCTGTATCTTTGCATTTCATTTTTTCTGCCTAAGTGGAGTATCTTGCATTTGTCCCTGTTGAACTTCATTTTGTTAGTTTTGGCCCATCTCTCTAATCTTTCAAGATCATTTTGAATCCTGCTCCTGTCCTCTGGGGTATTGGCTATCCCTCCCAATTTGGTGTCATCTGTAAACTTGATGATCATGCCTTCTAACCCTTCATCTAAGTCATTAATAAAGATGTTGAAAAGGACCGGGCCCAGGACGGAACCCTGCTGATGGCACTCCACTAGTCACTTCTTTCCAGGATGAAGAGGAAGCATTGGTGAGCACCCTCTGGGTTCGTCCATTTAACCAATTACAGATCCATTTAACCATAGTTTTGCCTAGCCCACATTGGACTAGTTTCCTTGCCAGAAGGTCATGGAGGACCTTGTCAAAGGCCTTACTGAAGTCCAGATATGCTACATCCACGGCATTCCCCGCATCTACCTAGCTTGTAACTCTATCAAAAAAAGAGATCAGATTATACACAACATACAAATTATCTACAGACCTACCAAGAAAATCCAACAAATCCTACATTCACCAAAGAACAAGAGGGATCCTCTCGCTTCTGCAGGAGTCTACCATGTACCATGCAGCTGTGGACAAGTCTACATAGGGACCACCAAACGCAGCATTGCCCAAACACGAATCAAGGAACATGAAAGGCACTGCAGACTACTTCAACCAGAGAAGTCAGCCATAGCAGAGCACCTGATGAACCAACCTGAACGCAGCATATTATTTGAGAACACAGAAATGCTGGACCACTCTAACAACCACCATGTCAGACTACACAGAGAAGCCATTGAAATACACAAGCATGTGGACAATTTCAACCGAAAGGAGGAAACCATGAAAATGAACAAAATCTGGCGACCAGTATTAAAAAACTCTAAAATTGCAACAGCAAAACAACAGAGAGGAAGCAGGCAGGGACATCTAATCACCTCTCAACAAGAGTTTGCTCCAGGCAAAGTCAGCCCATTGTATGCTAATCAAGGTGGTCAGCTGAAACATTCACACCTAGCTCCAGCAGACAAGAGTCCTTTGTCACACCCTGGTCATTCCACAGATATATAAACCCTTTTTCCTAGTTCCAACAGACCTCACGACCTCTGAGGATGCTTGCCATAGATGCAGGTGAAATGTCAGGAGAGAATGCCTCTAGACCATGGCCATACAGCCCGAAAAAACCTACAACAACCCATTAATAAAGATGTTGAACAGGACCGGGCCCAGGAGGGAACCCTCCTGATGGCACTCCACTCGTCACTTCTTTCCAGGATGAAGAGGAAGCATTGGTTTGTCCATTTAACCAAGTACAGGTCCATCTAACCGTAGTTTTGCCCAGCCCACATTGGACTAGTTTCCTTGCCAGAAGGTCATGGGGGACCTTGTCGAAGGCCTTACTGAAATCCAGGTACACTACATTCCCGGCATTCCCCGCATCTACCCAGCTTGTAACTCTATCGAAAAAAGAGATCAGATTAGTCTGGCATGAGCCAACGATGTGATGTGGCGGCAAAAAAAGCTGGGATTTTGGCCTGCATCAATAGGAGCATAGTGTCTAGATCTAGGGAAGTATTGCTACCCCTCTATTCCGCTTTGGTTAGACCATACCTGGAATATTGTGTACAATTCTGGGCACCACAATTCAAGAGAGATATTGACAAGCTGGAATGTGTCCAGAGGAGGGCGACTAAAATGATCAAGGGTCTGGAGAACAAGCCCTGTGAGGAGCGGTTCAAGGAGCTGGGCATGTTTAGCCTGAAGAAGAGAAGGATGAGAGGAGATATGATAGCCATGTATAAATATATGAGAGGAAGCCACAGGGAGGAGGGAGCAAGCTTGTTTTCTGTTTCCTTGGAGACTAGGGCGCGGAACAATGGCTTCAAACTACAAGAGAGGAGATTCCATCTGAACATGAGGAAGAACTTCCTGACTGTGAGAGCCGTTCAGCAGTGGAACTCTCTGCCCCGGAGTGTGGTGGAGGCTCCTTCTTTGGAAGCTTTTAAACAGAGGCTGGATGGCCATCTGTCAGGGGTGATTTGAATGCAATATTCCTGCTTCTTGGCAGGGGGTTGGACTGGATGGCCCATGAGGTCTCTTCCAACTCTATGATTCTATGATTCTAAAGTGGACAGTTGAAATATTCACACTTAGCTCCAACAGACAAGAGTTCTTTGTCCTACCCTGGACATTCCACATGTATATAAACCCAATTTTCCCAGTTCCAACAGACCTCACTACCTCTGAGGATGCTTGCCATAGATGCAGGCGAAACATCAGGAGAGAATGCCTCTAGAACAGGGGTCCTCAAACCTTTTAAACAGAGGGCCAGGTCACAGTCCCTCAGACTGTTGGAGGGCTGGATTGTAATTTGGAAAAAAAACATGAATGAATTCCTATGCACACTACACATATCTTATTTGTAGTGCAAAAATAAAACACTTTAAAACAATACAATAATTAAAATGGAGAACAATTTTAACAGATATAAACTTATTAGTATTTCAATGGGAAATGTGGGCCTGCTTTTGACTGATGAGATAGGATTGTTGTTGTCATTGTGTGCTTTCAAGTTGTTGCAGACTTAGGTTGACCCTGAGCGAGGGCCGGGTAAATGACCTTTGAGGGCCGCATCCGGCCCCCGGCCTTACTTTGAGGACCCCTGGTCTAGATCATGGCCATACAGCCAGAAAAAACCTACAACAAACCAGAGATCAGATTAGTCTGGCATGACTTGTTTTTGATAAATCCATGTTGACTATTAGTGATGACCGCATTTGTTTCTAAGTGTTTGTAGACCACTTCCTTAACAATTTATAGGTGAACTATAAACCCCAGCAACTACAACTCCCAAATGACAAAATCAATTTTTTTGAGTGGTGGTCACTCACTGGGTTAGGCGTATTCTGTCAAAATTTGGTGTCAATTCCCCCAGTGTTTTTTTGAGTTATGTTAATCCCTCAAATGAAGATTACATTTTTATTTATTGTTGTTGTTGTTCATTCGTTCAGTCGTCTCCAACTCTTCGTGACCTCATGGACCAGCCCACGCCAGAGCTCCCTGTCGGCCGTCACCACCCCCAGCTCCTTCAAGGTCAGTCCAGTCACTTCAAGGATGCCATCCATCCATCTTGCCCTTGGTCGGCCCCTCTTCCTTTTACCTTCCACTTTCCCCAGCCTAATTGTCTTCTCTAGGCTTTGCTGTCTCCTCATGATGTGGCCAAAGTACTTCAACTTTGTCTCTAGTATCCTTCCCTCCAATGAGCAGTTGGGCTTTATTTCCTGGAGGATGGACTGGTTGGATCTTCTCGCAGTCCAAGGCACTCTCAGAACTTTCCTCCAACACCACAGCTCAAAAGCATCTCTCTTCCTTCGCTCAGCCTTCCCTAAGGTCCAGCTCTCACATCCGTAGGTTACTACAGGGAATACCATGGCTTTGACTAGGCAGATCTTTGTTGCCAGTGTGATGTCTCTACTCTTTACTATTTATTGAGATTGGACATTGCTCTCCTCCCAAGAAGTAAGCGTCTTCTGATTTCCTGGCCACAGTCTGCATCTGCAGTAATCTTTGCACCTAGAAATACAAAGTCTGTCACTGCCTCCACATTTTCTCTATTTCCCAGTTGTCAATCATTCTTGTTGCCATAATCTTGGTTTTTTATGTTTAGCTGCAACCCGGCTTTTGCGCTTTCTTCTTTCACCTTGATTAGAAGGCTCGTCAGCTCCTCCTCGCTTTCGGCCATCAGAGTGGTGTCATCTGCATATCTGAGGTTGTTAATGTTTCTTCCAGCAATTTTCACCCCAGCTTTGCATTCCTCAAGCCCCGCACATCGCATGGTGTGTTCTGCATACATGTTAAAAAGGTTGGGTGAGAGGATGCAGCCTTGCCGTACGCCTTTCCCAATCTTGAACCAGTCTGTTGTTCCGTGGTCAGTTCTGACTGTTGCTATTTATATAGTTTCATTATTTTATACTTTTAATTGTACCTTAGATCTTTTTGGTGTAAATGTGACTTGTGAGATTGGTGTGTTTTGAACTATTCCTTGGTTGTCACTTAAGTTTCTAAGCGTGTCTTGATGCCAATGATTTGTTGTCTGGGTTTGTTTCCTTGCCCCCTTTGGCCCTGAATGTTTGCCCTTCTGGAATCCGCCCTGAGTCCCTCCAGGGAGATAGAGCGGGCTACAAATCAAGGAGGGTGATAGGCCGGCCCTTTGGAGGATGGCTCCGCCCCTGTGTGCCCCGAGGGGACGGGCGGAGGGGCTGAGCAAAGGCATAAAGGCGCCTCCACCTCCAGCCTGGCTGCTGCTCCTGCTTCACCATCTCCTCCGCCCTCGAAGCCCTCGAAGCGCGCCTCCTCCACCAAGAGAGCGCCGCCGCTCCGAGCCGCGCACCAGGCGGGCGAGTCTGCTCAGGAACCACCACCACCAGCAGCTGCTGCAGCACCTTTGGGTCTTGAGCAGGATGAGCCTGGCGCGCTCTTGGGGGGCTCTGGTGGGGCTGGCCCTCCTCCCCCTCCTCCTCCTCCTCCTGCCCTCCACGTCGGCATCGGAAGAGGGCCCGCCTGACCCCGAGTCGGAGGGCTACCAAGTCGTCACCTTCAAATGGCACCACGTCCAGGACCCATACATCATCGCCCTCTGGATCCTGGTGGCCAGCGTGGCCAAGATCTGTGAGTCCAAAACATTTTTTTCCCCACCTCTTAATCTTTGCTGTGAGTTTTGCGGACTGTATAGCTATGTTCTAGTAGCACTCTCTCCCGACGTTTCGCCTGCATCTGTGCCTGGCATGCACAGAGTTTTGTTGGCAATGGGGCAAGTATTTATTTATTTGTCGTGTCAGAGCAACCAGTCCATTATATTACATTTCTAACAGAACAGATCAAACAAACAGACAAATACAAAACTTGTGAGTTTGGTAGTTGGTTAAATGTCCTTAAATGGGGCAAGTGTGTATGTCTAGCTATCTATATCAGTGGGAGAAAGTACTCTTGTCTGTTGTGAATGTAGCAATTGAGGGCCCTTCCAGACAAGCCCTACATCCCAGGATCTGATCCCAGGTTTTAAGAATTAATAACAGACAGGCATGTAGGGGGGGGGGGGCTTGAGGGGCTTCAGCCCCCCCCCAAATTCTCATGGTGGTTCGCGAAAAGGCCTTACTGGTGCATTATTTAAACTGTTATGTTTATTCATATCATAATCTGATCACCATATTCAATATATGGGGGTATTGGGGTAATGATACAAAAGGTTTGCTAGGCTAGACCCTCTTTCACTCAGACTCAGCCCCCCCCCAAACTCCCCCCTGAAAAAAATCAGCCCCCCCCCCCCCCCCCCCCCCGAAACGAAATCCTGGCTACAGGCCTGTCTGTTGTGAATGTAGCAATTGAAGGCCCTTCCAGACAAGCCCTACATCCCAGGATCAGATCCCAGGTTTTAATAATCAAAACAACAGAGAGTAAACAATCAGGTACATCAAATCACCTCTCAAAGAAAGATTCCCCCAGGCACTTCCAAGCCATTAAATGCTAATCAAGGTGGTCAGTTGAAACATTCACACCTAGCTCCAGCAGACAAAAGTCCTTTGTCCCACCCTGGGCTTTCCACAGATATATAAACCCATTTTCCTACTTCCAACAGACCTCACTACCTCTGAGGATGCTTGCCATAGATGCAGGCAAAAAGTCAGGAGAAATGCTTCTAGAACATGGCCATATAGTCCGAAAAAACTACAACAGCCCAGTGATTCCGGCCATGATTATTATTTACTTATTTACTAGCTGTCCCCTGCCACGCGTTGCTGTGGCCCAGTCTGGTGATCTGGAAAATAATGAGAAAGTGTTGGCTTCTAATATATGTAATGTCTTGATGCTTGTGGGTAAACAGTATTTCTTTTTGTTTTTTTGTCAGTGTTGATGTGGAGAGTGTCTGGTTTGCCTACTCTGGAACATGTGGCATATAATTGTCCTTCTTTTGAGGTCCCTTTCAAATCTATGATATATCTCTGTGTGTATGAATCATATATATATATATATATATATATATATATATATATATCTATGGCTGGATGGGTCTTTGTCAGGAGGGCTTTGATTACGGTTTCTTGCCCTGGTGAAGGGAGTTGGACTGGATGGCCTTAAGTATTTTCTGTTGGTCATGGGGGTTCTGTGTGGGAAGTTTTCCCCAATTCTGTCGTTCATGGGTTTCAGAATGCTCTATGATTGTAGGTGAACTATAAATCCCAGTAACTACAACTCCCAAATGTCAAGGTCTATTTCCCCCAAACTCCATCTGTGTTCATATTTGGGCATATGGAATATTCGTGCCAAGTTTGGTCCAGATCCATCATTTTTTGAGTCCACAGTGCTCTCTGGATGTAGGTGAACTACAACTCCCAAACTCAAGGACAATGCTCAGCAAACCCTTCTTGTGTTTTCTGTTGGTCATGGGAGTCCTATCTGCCAAGTTTGGTTCAATTCCATCATTGGTGGAGTTCAAAATGCTCTTTGATTGTAGGTGAACTATAAATCCCAGCAACTACAACTCCCAAATGACAAAATCATTTTTTTGAGTGAAGGACATACATTGGGTTGTTAGGTGTCTTGTGTCCAAATTTGGTGTCAATTCGTCCAGTGGTTTTTGAGTTCTGTTAATCCCACAAACGAACATTATATTTTTATTTATATAGACTAGCCATTCCCTGCCACGTGTTGCTGTTGGGTCTGGATGGGTCTTTGTAAGGAGGGCTTTGATTATGGTTTCTTGCCCTGGTGAATAGAGTTGGACTGGATGGCCTTAAGTATTTTCTGGTGGTCATGGGGGTTCTGTGTGGGAGGTTTGGCCCAATTCTATTGTTGGTGGGGTTCAGAATGCTCTGTGATTGTAGGTGAACTATAAATCCCAGCAACTACAACTCCCATATGTCAATATTCTATTTTCCCCAAACTCCCATCAGTGTTCACATTTGGGCATATTGAGTATTCGTGTAGAGTTTGGTCCAGATCCATCATTGTCTGAGACCACAGTGATCTCTGGATGTAGGTGAACTACAACTCCAAAACCAAAGGACACTGCCCACCAAACCCTTCCAGTATTTTCTGTTGGTCATGAGAGAACTGTGTTCCAAGTTTGGTTCAATTCCATCGTTGGTGGGGTTCAGAATGCTCTTTGATTGTAGGTGAACTATAAATCCCAGCAACTACAACTCCCAAATGACAAAATCAATTTTTTTAGTGAAGAACATACATTGGGTTGTTATGTGTCTTGTGTCCAAATTTGGTGTCAATTCGTCCAGTGGTTTTTGAGTTCTGTTAATCCCACAAACGAACATTACATTTTTATTTATATAGATTTATTTATCGTGTCAGGAGGAAATCAAACAGTTACATTGCATTTTTTAAACAAACAGATAGACAAAGCAGAAAGTTTGCAAGCTTGGTAGTTGATTAAATGTCCTTTGACCAGTAGCTGGCCACTTGGAGTGCCTCTGGTGTTGCCGCACAAAGGTCCTCCATTGTGCATGTGGCAGGGCTCAGGTTGCATTGCAGCAGGTGGTCTGTAGTTTGCTCTTCTCCATACTCGCATGTCGTGGATTCCACTTTGTAGCCCCATTTCTTAAGATTGGCTCTGCATCTTGTGGTACCCGAGCGCAGTCTGTTCAGCGCCTTCCAAGTCACCCTTTCTGTGTGCCCAGGAGGGAGTCTCTCATTTGGTATCAGCCATTGATTGAGGTTCTGGGTTTGTGCCTGCCACTTTTGAACTCTCGCTTGCTGGGGTGTTCCAGTGAGTGTCTCTGTAGATCTTAGAAAACTATTTCTTGATTTAATTCGTTGGCATGCTGGCTGATACCCAAACAGGGGATGAGCCGGAGATGTCACTGCCTTGGTCCTTTCACTATTGGTCAGTGTGGAATGCAAGGCAAGCAAAGTGTGCGAGGAAGGAAGGATGGTAGTCGAGGAAGGATGGTGAGGTGTGTGTGGAAAGGAAAGGAAAGGGGGAGGGCCAAGGCAGTGTCAGTGGAAGCCCATGAGAGGAGCGGGGAGCTCTGCAATTTGCCTTCATGTTATCCTGCTGACCAAAACAACCGCTTCACTTTACGTAAAGGACAGTCTGGTTTTTCTGCCTGGCTCTTGGGCTTTGTCTGCTTTGTGTTAGGAATTTAATTGTGAAAGAGCCCTATCTCTCACAAAATTCTAAGGGGACTTCAGATATTATTTCCATTTGTGTCATGCCTTCTCCTACCATATCCTTATTACTCCCATCCGAAAAAAGAGGCGTGAAAGATGTACAAAGTACATAGTGCCTTCTATTTGATAGCTCTTGGAGCCTTTTCACCCAGAAAGAATTTATTTTATTATTTATTTCGCGCATTTCTACCCCGCCCTTCTCAACCCCCGAGGGGGGGACTCAGGGCGGCTTACAAGAGGCACAATTCAATGCCAGCAATACAGATATTAAGATAAAATATATATCAGCAACAATTATAACACAATTAAAACAGTCCAGTTATACATCATAGTTAATAAAAACCAATCTAATGATCAACGTTCGCCAAGCTCAAAATCCGTAAGTTCATTCCGCATTGTCATAATCCTATCCAATTCTAGTCATCATTGTCCTTTGTCTGTCTGCCAGATTACCCAAAGGCCTGGTCCCATATCCATGTTTTTAGTTTCCTTCTAAAAGAGAGGAGGGATGTCGATGACCTAATTTTCCTGGGAAGCGAGTTCCGCAGGTGAGGGGCCACCACCGAGGAGGCCCTGCTCCTCATCCCCACCAATCTCACTTGTGATAGAGGTGGGGCCGAGAGCAGAGCCTCCCCAGAGGATCTTAAACTCCGAGGCGGGACATAGAAGGAGATGCGTTCAGACAGGTACGCTGGGCCGGAGCCGTATAGGGTTTTGTAGGTCAAAACCAGCACTTTGAATTGTGCTCCAAACTGGATCGGCAGCCAGTGGAGCTGACATAACAGTGGGATGGTATGTTCCCTGTATGATGCTCCAGAGAGTAATCTGGCCGCCGCTCCTCGGACTAATTGAAGTTTCCAAACAGTCTTCAAAGGCAACCCCACGTAGAGTGTGTTGCAGTAATCTATTCGGGATGTAACAAGAGCGTGGACCACTGTGGCCAGATCAGAAAGAACCCTTCATATTGGACTCATGATTGTCCTGTGATGTGTGATGTTTGTCACAGACACATGAGAAGAGCTTGGAAGAAGAAACAGCTATGCAGCTATGCCTATAATATTATAATGTAATACAATATACTACTACTAATAATAATTATAATAATTATTATAATTATATATTTTATATTAAATGTAATATTACTAACAATATTACAGTATAATGTTATAGTAGAATTAATATATAATATTAATATTGTGCTATGGAAATAATATAATATATTGTATTTACTTTTTACTTGTAAGCCGCTCCCCTTTGGGGTGAGAAGGGCGGCATATAAATGTCATAAATAATCTATATAAATAAAAATGTAATGTTTCGTTTGTGGGATTAGCAGAACTCAAAAACCACTGGGGGAATTGACACCAAATTTGGACACAATACACTTAACAACCCAATGTATGTTCTTCACTCATAAAAACACAGCAGAAGTTACTTTAAAAGCCCCAAGAAAGCTAAATGACGAAAAGGTAAATGACATTACAGAA